CACACAAACACACACACACACACACACACACACACACACACATACTCACAAACACCCCTCACCCCCTCACTCACCGGGCATGATGTTCTTGTATATAATCTGCACGTGTTGATCACGGTCCGGCCTGGTATGCTCGTGCCAGAAGCCAATCACGTGACCCAGCTCGTGCACCACGATACCAAACTTGTCACAGTTCTTGCCGATACTGATGGCCTGGGCGCCGTTTCCGCGCTTGCCCACAAAGGAACAACATCTGGAGAGAGAAGAACAGTAAAATAAGATAAGATAAGATAAGATAAGACAAGCCAAGATACGATAAGGTAACACTTTATTATCCCAAAGGGACATTTTTCTTGGTTGTACGGGGCCGTAAAAACACAAGCAGGTATACATAAAAATTTACATTACATATTACTCTCATTAAAATTCAATAAGAAAAGAGGAGTAAAGCTGACAAAATGTACATAATAATATCACATCAGATGCATCATTCAACCACATGCAGGGATTTAATTACAAGACCTTTAGAGTTAAATAGATACGTACTCGAAAGAGCAATACACATTGATGCTTTCCCGACAATAACCTTATGATAGATGGTAAAAATCTTCTGTTTAAATATCTTTCTTTCTTTGTTTTTAGAGGTACATATCTTCCGCTGCGCGATTTTACAGAGTACGGGTTTTATGGCCGTATCAACACCATTAGGCCCTTCAATTAAGTAGATGAACGTCCGAATTAAACGTCCGTCTCCCACTAACACCGATCGAAATGGGGCTGAGAACCTCGAAAACTAAAAAAAAACGAGCCAAGTTGTTCAAGAACGCCCAGGCTGGGATTCGAACTACGGCCATCTGCTCCGCAACCCAGCATGATGCTAACTGAGATCACAGAGCGCCTCGTAAAGAGGTGGGTGAGTTCAGTTTTAGTTTAAAAAAATCAAACAAGCGTGTTAGTCTCGGAATGATAAGGATTTATTTCATCTCATCTCACCTCATCTCATCTCATCTCATTTAATCTCATCCGATCTCATCCCATCTCATCATATCTTATCTTACCTTATCTTATCTTATCATGTCTTATCTTATCTCATCGTTTCTTATTTTATCCACAAACTCACCCACAAGACCTTTCCGTGAACAGAATGTAATGCTGATCTTCTGGCTCTTTCTCCTTGAAGGTAATGCACGTGTAGTTCTCCCAGTGCCTCATGGCCAGCTTGAACAAGGCTTTGTTGGCTCCTGAGGAGGGGAGGGGGGGGGAGTTTAGTTTTAGTAAGAGTTTTACGGCACTAGCAACACAATAAGGTCATATAAGTGCCCGAGAATAAAGGTGTTACAAGAGGGTAACAAACACCAAAAAGAAGGAGTGGAGATACAGACGATAGACGTTTGATAGGAAAAAAGAAGCAAACCACACC